AAATGTCTCTCAAGGAGTCCAGAGTAGGTGCTTGCACCACCACTGGTGGCAGTCTGTTCCAGGCCTTGGGAGCTTGGACAGTAAAGAAGTTCTTCCTTATGTCCAGCCTGAAATGGTCTTGGAGGAGTTTGTGACCGTTTGACCTTGTCATGACTATGAGCTCTGGCTAGCCTGTATTGGTAGAGCCCCCTTTGCCCATTTCCACACACTTCCATGTCGTCTGTAGGGTTATTGCTGTTTATTCCAGGGACAGGCCAATCAGGCTGTGTGCTCTTGCTTGGCACCTACTGGCAGAGGAACAGCCATGCAGTTCGGAAGGGCTATGTGTGTAAATGACTGCTGCTCCTGTTTGTATCTGGCTCAAAACCCAAGACAATCAGGATCACCTCAAATTAGATGTCTCCTTGTAGCCTGATGTGGTAACAGATATTCTGTGCTGGGGACAACATGATCAGTACTTAGCAATGTTAAAAAACATTTATTGGCTTTGTATCCTGGAGACAGAAGAGATTTCACTTCTACAGGATTATGAGTTTTCTTCCTTGGCTGATCTCAGTTGGAACTATGAGATACCCTGGAAAGAGCTTGCCTTACTGCATATGTGCTCTGGTCAGGTAGTATCCACTTAGTTACTCATCAGTCATCATTAAGGCTAGGGACAGAAATTACACATAAACCAGCATAAATGATCAAAAACTGGTTTAAATCTGTAACACAACAGAAGTTCAATGCATATAAGCTGCTTTTAAAATGGCTGAAACCAGTTTAAGATAAACCTGGTTGGACGTAGTATCAGATTTAACTGATTTAAGTTAAATCAGTTTATTGTACTTCTATCCCAGATCCTCTCCAGATTCAAGTTAACTCACTGTCCCCCAGTATCCCAGGATGCTTTGCACCTCCCCTGTAAAACCCCCCTCACAGGGGGGGTTAAAAGGCTAAACTTGGCCCAAGCTGCCTGCTCTAGAAGAGCAGGAAGGCATGCTCTAGCGCCCCCTGGCTTCTGCCCTGGGCCACTGCAAGCTTGCGGCTATATTTCTAGAATCAAAAGTAAATGTCTGTTCACTTGCTTATCGGTTCAATCTACGCAGCTTAGACTAACCTGCAAAGAATGAATCGATTCAGCCTCTGGCTTTTTGACTGTCTGTACTTAGCCTAAGAGGTTCAGTGGAACCTGGCCTGTGAGGGACTGAGGTTGGAAAAACTAGATAAAGAACAAGCTTAAATCAGGAACTTCCCATGTGATCAAAATTGCAAAGATCACATGGGGATTATACAAAAGTCCTGGAGGAGGCAACTATTCAAGGTTTAATAGGAGAAACATGCAAGGATCACACCTAGTGAAGAATATTTCCATATTCTAAAAAGGTTCCTTATACATTTACCATAATAGGATGGAGGCTTCGCCAAGCCAAACTGTTCTGAGAACAGGTCATCAACACTGCTAAATAAACTAAGTAATAGGTGGCTAATTACTCCTTTGTCCAAGTACCCTTATGTAGGACAATGGAGAAGTGCTGTTCATAGCAAGCCTCCTTGCATCCCCCAGTGCCTCACCCATTTTGGCTGAGCTTTTGGCTGCAAGTTCCAATTGGCTTATGTTTTTTCTCACCCAGTGAAATAATCCCTAGCTGGATGGAACAGCAGAAAAGAAACCCAAAAACTGGTAAGTAGAATCAATGGAGCTTGCTGGGAGAAAATGAAACCCGACCACAACCTACAGCTAAAACCCCAACCAAACCACTTAGAGAACTGAAATAACAGGTTGGCTACAAAGAACTGAGTGCTTCAATAGAGATAGGAAATGACCATTGCCTGCATTTCAGAGATGGGGAGATATGAACTGTTTACACTATACTGGCCACTGTGGCTACCTTTTATGTGGATATATGCAAGCTAGCTTTAAAACAGCTTTCTCACACTCTGATAATAGTGGCAGCAAAGAGCTTGGCACCAACTAACATGGCTAACTTCGTCTCTTTAACCAACTAACCACCCAAGTATTTACTCAGCATCTCAGGTGGATTTGCAGCCTATGCTGAACTCTGTGCCTCCCCAGTTACTCTGCTATTGGCATCCGAACCAGCTCATTTGAAGCTAGCTCTGGATGAGCTTCAGTGTGGACATGCCCTGAGTTGCAGTGAGTTACCAGCTGAGGCAAGAATATAATCAGGTCTCCAAATTCCCACCCTGCTATGTCAACCAATGCTACTCTATCGCCCTTCACTAAAGGTCTTTTTCATCCGCATGAAGCAACTCACTGACCAGGTCAGACAGAATGGATTTGAGCACCAGTGACAGGCAGCTCTGTTCATTCTTTACCACACATGAACCACCACTACCACCTAGTCATCGCTTCGCTAGACTACAGCAATATGATGCACTCAGGGAATGAAACCTCAGCACTTAGGAGACTCCATACTATACTGATTTCTGTACATGTCACTCTTACAATAAGGGTAAAGATTGTCTGGATGGGATAAAGAGCTTTTTGGGGGCTGATCTGGGAGCATAGAATAGACTTTCTCAGGAACTAACCTCACCACCTTCCTCTTCAAGTGGAAGGTGCATTTCTTTAACGTATACATAGCAATTGGTACCAAACCAACAAATAATTAAAAAAAGCTCATCTTTATCAAAAAGCACACACTGCTGCCTATATTTCTCTCCTTGACATGAGGCTGAGAGAACAAGCAACACAAGGATGCCAGAAATGTGGCTTGATACTATTTGTATTACCACACTGATGAATTGATCACACTATAAACATCTTCATAGAGTAATAGCACTTTGTGAATGACTCTTCCTTCTCCAGTGCCATGCAAGCTTTTACTACATCTAGCAGTAGGCGAGCCCCAGGTACCAGAATCTTTGGAGTTTTTAGTACCAGGATAGAAGTTTGGTTGAGAACAGGCTTCCCCCTTATATCTCTAAGGTTATAGATACTGTACTGAAAAGCTGCTTTTATGTAGGCATATAAAATTATAACATTTATATTATAAATTATAATGAATACACTATAATATGTATAATATTGATAATAATATCATAAGTATGTTGAATATCAAAGGAAGGGGGTGGTTTGAGATCGGGGAGCAAGTTTGAGCTGGGCCTCTGTTCAATGTTTGCTTGGGCTTTCTCTGCATAAGTGGAGAAAGGCAGGATCTTAAGGATCAAGGCATCAGACAAATCAGACCATGAATCAGATACTGGAGTGAATCTAACTTAGGAAAATCAGGCAGCAGCTTGAAGGCACAGCTGGTGGCTGGCTGGCTACTGGCTGCCTTGCCTGAGAGGAAGACCTATGACTTAAGAATAAATAGAAGACAAGAACCCATCAGAGCCACTGAGTACTGCAAATGGGAACCTGCTGGAAGTATGGAAATATTCCAATGGGACTGCAATTGCTGATGGCTCTGAACCTTGTTTAACTAAATCCAGTTCTGTGTCTTTGTACCCATTGCAGGCAATACGGCAGTACAATTTCATTAATCTTTGTGCAAAACTGTTCCCTCTGCCTCCTCAATCATTCATCTACACATAGGGAAGTACCGATCAATAGCTCTAGTTGGAAATTTTTCAACAGAGCATTTTCCATCAGAAAATGTCAATTCATTTAAAGTGAAACATTTCATGAGAATGTCAGTGTTGAAAAAACAATCAGTTAGGGAAAGCAAACACCAAAGGGTTTCTAGGAGGTTGAAATGTTTCCACCATTTCATAACAGAAGGTTTCAGATTTCCATTTGAAAATGACATTTCCATTTTTCCTGTGGTCTAGAAAAGTAGGGCTGGAATGGACCTCAGGAGATCATCTAGTCCAAGCCCTTGCTCAGGATAGGATCATTCCTGTCTAAACCATCCTAGATAAATGTTTGTTTAATCTGTTCTTAAAAACTTCCAAGGATAGAGATTCCACAACCTCTTTAGGTAATCTATTCCAATGCTTAACCACTGTCACAGTGAGGAAGTCCCTTCTAATATTCAAACCTACATTTCTCTTACTGCAGTCTAAAAGACCTTTACCCCTTGTCCTGTCCCCTGCAGCCACAGAGAGCTGTCTATCACCATCCTCTTTATAACCACCCCTCAGGTATTTGAAGACTGTCATCAAATTGCCCCTGTGTCTTCTCTTTTTCAGAATAAATAATCCCAGGTCTTCAAACCTTTTCTCATAAATCTCATCTCCTGGATGTCTAATATTTGTCTCTTTTTGCTCTCTGCTGGACTCTCTTCCAATTTGTTCATGTCTTTCTTGAAGTGCAGTGCCCAAAACTGGACACAGTACTCCAGATGAGGCCTCACCAGTGCTGAGTAGAAGAGAAAAATTATGTCCTTTACCTTGCAAGCAACACTCCTGTTAATAAGAGTCCAATATGCTATTAGCTTTTCTTTTCTTTTCCTTTTTTTTTCTTTTTTTGCAACAAAAGCACACTGTTTGCTCAGTGTGTGGTCCACTTTAACCCCCAGATCCTTTTTTGTAGCACTTCAGCCTAGCTAGTCATTCCTCAGTCTGTATTTGTGCATGTGACTTTTTCCATCCGAAATGCAAGACTTTGCACTTGACTTGTCCTTATTGACTTTCATTTAATTAATTTCAGATCATTTTTCCAATTTATTAAGGTAATCTTAGATCCCAAACCTAGCTGCCAGAATGTCTGCAACTCCACCCAGTTTAGTGTCATCTGTAAATCTGCTAACTGTGCACTCAATCCCATTGTCCAAATAATTAATGATTATATCAAATGTTATAAAATAAAGTTGAAATTGGAAAGAAATGTTTTGCTTTTGTGAGGGAAAACTAGGATTTACCCCAGATAACTTTTATTTTGGAATATAATTTCATTAGATTTTTTTTCCCCTTTTTTTTGTTTTTTTGTTTTGTTTGTTTTGGTTTTCTGGGGTTTGGGGGGAGGGTTTGTTTTGGGTTTTTGTTTTTTAATACCCCATGAAACAGAAAGTCTGGTTCCTGCCTGGCTGTGCTGATAAAGCCAATGCTAATTTACTTATCTAGCACCAATGCTGGGCCAGTTTCAGAAAGTAAGTTGGTTTTAGTTTAGAGAAGTATCCAAAGTTCAGGTAAAGGATTGGTCAGTTTTACTGTATCCACCTCCCCCCTATTTCCTAAACATAGGCACTGTCCTACCTAGGGGCAATCCCAGCAGCTATTTTTTTTTTGTCCTGCTCCTGTTAAGGCAGGACCTTTAAATGGATGGAGTAAGACCCTAGAAGATCTCTTAGCTGTAATCACATCTGAAAGTCCATATTTTAGAGCTTAACCCCCAGGCATCTTTGGAAGAGGAACCAGATGGCCAGTCAGGGAAAAGCTAATAGGCCACTGAATCAACCTCTTATATGGTGTTCAGAACCCAAAGCACCTGACACTCTTATTAGAAATCCTTTTCCCATGAGTGCAGGCCAATCTTATCTCAAGATTCAAGGGCTCAGGAAAGCATCCTGTCCTTGAGTTCTGGATATTTCAAGATCATCCCTGGTTCTGGAGGCAAAGAAAAGACACAGGGGCAAAGTCTTACCTTGGTCTGGAGGTAATACTCTACGTCTTCGTCCGTGAACGGCTTCATGGTAGGATGTCCTTCTGTCTTGCCTTCCTTGTCAGAGCTCTTCCTCTCTTGACTGGCTGGGGCTGTTTCAGAACCACTTGCACCTTTCTGCCTGCTGCCCTTCTTGTCTTGTGGCTCCCAGACATCTACATCCTCTGTGGATGAAGAAGAGGGGAGACAAACTAGGAAGGATGCCTGTTCTTTCTTGCTCTGCTTTACAACAGTCATTCACAGCTCACTAAGAAAACCCCATCCAGCCATTGTTTACAAGCTCTGTGATTACTGCTATTATTTTCAAATAGTGATTCCTGCATAGAGACATATCTAGAAAAATCCCAAATACTGCCTTGTCTTTTGGCTGAGTTTGAAGCACTTTTCAAACCTTACTGGGCATAGAAAGCTTTCCAGCATTATCGTTTGTCTGCCTGTGTCTTATCGCTTAACTAGATCATGTATCAGCCCTTTCCAAGCACAGGGAAGTGCTCCCTAGTTGATCTCCATCCACCCACTTTCTTTTGCTATCTCTTCTGGCATTTTTATACTCAGATCACTCATGTGGGCTGCGGCCTCTGCTCCTTGTTCCTTATATCGCCTTTCTCTCTCCAGCTGTATTGACAGTAAATGTTCAGCCGCCTGTCCCCAGCCGGCAGTTTGCTTTGCTTTCTTTATAGTAAACAGATAGAAAACTGCCTCTTGTTAGCGGCCAGATAACAAACTCACCATGCATCAATCGAAGGGAAAACAATTGATTGGGTTTTATCGACCCAACAAGGCTTGGTGGCTTTTGCAAAAAGGGTATGTCATCCCAGGAGAGGGAGGGGCAGTGTCCTACAGAGATGTGCTTCCAGGCTGCAAAATGCCCCTGGTCAGGAAGGATCAATGGGACCCACTTTAGAACAAAAATAGTCATATCCCCCATTCAGTCTTCACCAAGTCCTCTTTTGTATACTCATATTTTCACAATGCCTTGGCAAAGAAGGGCTGAAATCCTGATTGGGTCCTGAGTGTTACCACAATACTGTTAATATTAGTGTTGTTTTATCCTGGTTATGTATTGATTGTGCACTTAATACTGTACAAAACCCAGCAGAAGATAGGCCCACTAACTCCAGGAGCTTTCTTGTGTGAGACTTTGCCACCCACCTAACCTTTGACCTGGTCTTAGTGTTAGACAAATTATGCACTTATCCCAGAAGTAGAACATGGTAATACACTAATAGCTAAATAACTGAGTATCCTCATGTAACAGATGGACAAAGAAGACTGAGAAAGGAGAAGCAATTTGTCCAAACAAGGCAGTGTCCAAGCTAGATTTGCTGACTCCCAGGCAAGGATCAACATGTTACAGAAGCCAACCAAAAGAAACTTATGATCATCAAATATGTGAAAGAGGGAGAGTCAGACAGACGGAGGAGAACTCTAGGCAGAGAAAGCCCAGAGACTTGGAGGTCAGAGAGTTGAGAAAACTGGCTAGAGAGGAGACTCCTTTTGTAACAAGGCATTTAGTAGAATTTGCAGATTTGTTGGAATCCGACAGGCCGCCCCACGAGCACTTCTGCTATGGCAGGGGCGGGCAATTATTTGGGCTGGAGGGTCACTTAGGGTGTTTTGGTGAGCTGTTGCAGAGTGGGTCAGCACCCTCGTTGCCCCCCTCCCCACCCTCCAGCAACGGCTCATCAAAATACCCTAAGTGGTATATCACTAGATTTGGGAGCAGATCGTGGCTGTGCCCTGGGCCCCAGCCCTGCGCTATCACCACCTGGTGATCCTGGCCCTGGCCCCAGGGTCTCCATGAAGACCAGTTTGGGACCCCCGCGGGCAGGGTGTGCTTGGTTGGGTGAATGAGATGGGGCCACGGGTGGGCAGGGAGCAGAGTCTGGGAGCGAAAATCGCAGGGTGTTGATAGTGTGGTGCTGGGGCCCAGACACAGGGCAGAGCCAGGATCTGCTCCCTGCGCATCCCTGCCCACCGAACTGGCACCTGTCACAGAGACATCCAGGCAGCAGGTCGTGGCTTGGCCCCAGCCCTGGCTCTGCGTGGTCACTGCCCTGCCCACATGAGCCCACTGCCCCTGACAATCAGTGCAGGGTGCCTGAGCAGTGGGGCTGGGTCATGCAGCGACAGCAGCTGGAAGGAGCCACTGCCGCTAAAGCTGCCAGGAAGCAGTCTGGCTGCCGTGCCACCCCCACCCCACCACATGCCCTGGGTGGGGGACCAGCTGCACCTGGACCCGGCAGGGCTGAGGGACCTGCTGTGAGCCAGATAAAATCCCTTGGTGGACTGGATCCAGCCCACAGGCTGTATCTTGCCCACCCCTGTGCTATGGCCTTCAAACTTGCAACCTCTTGGCTGTCAGCTGTGACTCAGCACCTGCGCCACCCCAGCCCCCAGTGAGGAGACACAAGATAAAGGAATAAAGAAAGAAAGGCAGGGGAAAGAGAAACAGCTCAATACAGAGAGAGGGGATGGGGACACAGCCAAAGGGCCTACCAATAGGCCAATGATTTTCAATGCTCTTTCATGAGACTATGCAGCAGCTTCTGTGACAGCAGCAAAATCTCCACCAATCTTCAAGCAGTGACCCTTGCTTTGACTTAGCCTGAATCTGGTCAGAGGCTTTTTTTGTGCCTGGCTAACCTTGGGGGGAAAAAAAAGAAAAAAAGAAAAATGAAAAGAAAAGAAAGAAAGAAAGAAACCCACATTTCAATGTGGCTTTAATCCTCATCACATTAGCAGTTGAAAATAATATCAATGAGGGGAAAAACCCTGGGATGGAAGAAAGAACCAGACTACAACGGCACTAGCAGAGATCAGAATAATCAGGTATAGGAGGGTGATGAGCTGGCAGTATTGTAAGCACAAACTCCCAGGCAAAGGTTTTCCTAGTGCTGCTGGTAACGCCAAGAAGACACAGGCTTCACAAAGACATGGCAATCTATTGGTTTGTTTTGCACCTTAAGCAAAAAGTTTTCTCAATACAATTGGCAGCGAAGGAAGCAATGCCACCCAGCCCACTCCTGTTGCATACCTTTCCCTATAAATGCTTAGGCTGTTTCTCAATAGAAAGCTTGCTCAACTCTGACAGTGGGTTATTTACCTTGACTGGGCAAATTATCTGTGTGGATCACACTCCAGACCCCTTTCGAAGGCTGCAGCAGCCTGGGACACACGTCCGATCCCTCCGTGAGGGAGCAAGTCCTCGCTCTGCTCTCTGGTTGCTCAGTACGGAGGGCTGACAATGGAACGTCACAGCGAGGAACACGCCAGTGCAACTGGTGGAGGTCTCAGCAACCAGGCCTCAGGCTAGAGCCCAACATTTAAGAGTTCAAGAAGTTATATGTAGGAAATACCTATTCAATCAGATCTAGCCCATGACTTTGGCACAGAAGGATCAGGTCCTATACTACTGTCTAGGGCTAGACTCACTGGTTTTAAATATCCAAACAAAGAGGTATCCACTGCTACCTTTGCCTCTTCCATCTAACAGATCTCTCTATCAGGATATGTTTCCTGTTCAGTTTAAATGTTCCCTATGTGAATTGCTTTCTATTTTAGTGCATGTGAGATGCACAATTCACCATGGTTGTGTGAGAGCCCCTTCTTCTGGGAATAACACGGCCATCAGTCTGACTCTAAGGAAGGTGTTGTACTGCTACTAAGTCACATCACACATCATTGGTTCAGAAATGGGGACGCCAATGGCTTTGCAGTATCAGGGGCTCTACTGTCACAGTAGATCAGGCCTTACCTGAGACCAAAGCATCCTTCTGCAGCTATGCCACATCATAGCTCCACTTTTGCAGCCCTCAAAGGTAACCTGCTAATCCAGGAACAGCATTGCTTACCACTGCTCCACCAAAGCAAGCATGGGCAACAGGGTGAGTTTACAGTGGGGCTAGCCATCATACCATGGCTAGCCCATGGTATGATCCCATCCCCCATCCCCTCCCACTGTCTAAACAGAGAGCCACCGGTGAGTTTCATGGGTGCTCAAATAGGAGACCTTCAAGAAACATGAGTGCTGCAGATAGTACTGCTTGTATTTCCTGGTTAGTGTTTTTTCCTGTGAATTGGTGTCATCATGAGTAAACAAATGAGTGGGGCATTGCAGTTGAAGGTGCTGCCTCACAAAGGATGTATACCACTAAGTATGTAATCATCACTAAAGATGACAGCACTTCTTGCAAAATTAGGGGTGTCAGCTCTGGTGTGTTGGCTAAATTTCAACGTGTGTAATTAGCTGAACTATATCAGTCATTCCTGTAGATTGAAGACACAGTTATCTTCTTGTCCTGTCCTTGTTGTGTACTGTTGCTGCACACTGTTGAAGACCTGTCACGCTTCTCCCTGCAAAGGAAAAAGTGATCCGTGTGTGTAGTTAGGAATGGAAACTTGCTAAAAATCAGTCCCTCAGGAGGTTATCTAGTTCTATCTCTCTTGATCAAAGCAGGGTCCGTCCTGCCTGAACTGTCCCTGACAAATGTTTGGGATTCTTTGCAATGTTCTGCAAAGTCATTACTGTACATTTAGTAATGATTGCACAAATTCAGTTTGAACCTTTCCCTACGTCAGGCGGGCTTGTATAAGAACTGTATGCTTGATCGGTAAAAGTGAAAGATCTGAACATTTCGCCTGTTTTATTTAAAAAAACCTCAACCAGACTTGGTCGAAGTGTTGTTTCAGTGACAGTGACCTACAGTCACTTAGAAGGAAATGGAAAGCTTTTTATTAGAGCTACTAATTCATTGTGACAGCATCAAAATCATAAACAGCTGTCCAATTGAAATGTTTCTCTTGTTCCTGTTCCTTACAGATCAATACTTAACAGCCTTATTAACTCGTTCAGTGTTTACTTTGCTTATTATTTCTGTCTCTGTCCAATACACACATCAATCTACCTCTGTACCCACCTGTTCACATACACATATGTGCACACATGCAAAAACATAAGTGCACCAGCCTGGGATCTGGATGTCATGTGAAATTAATCAGCGATCAAAGACCTTCTCAAATTAAATACTGTTTAGGAAGTGTTGCTGTAGCTGTGATGGTCCAGGGAATATGAGGAAGTCAGATTTATGAGGTGAGGTCATGTCTTTTATTGGACCAACTTGATAGCTGGGAGAGATGTTAGCTAAATGCAAACAACAATGCAACACCTGCCAATGCATCTCCACTGCCACCACAATCAACACTCCTACAGCAAAACCATCAGATTATGTGGATCCTATATATGCCTCTCAAAAAACATGATACACCCTATTCAATGCATCAAATGCCACAATAAAAACTGTGTAGCAGAAACTAAACTACCACTATGTTCCAGAATGACCCCTCACAGACAAATAATAAAGGATACAAACTCAATCACCAGTGGTTGATTTTAACAAAACCACTGTTTCATCTCTGACCTCGCAGTCTTTGCCTTCAGAGGTAACCTATAGGATACCTTCAGAAGGCAAGTCTGGAAACCACAA